CCGTTTCAACCAAATGAATCGCTTCGTTTATCGATTTCGTTGGATGGACCACACGGAAAAAATTGAATTGCTTATTTTACAATTTGGTAGTTAAAAATATGTGTCCGACATGTTTCAAGGTAGATTTTACAATGAAAAAATGCTAATTTCATCATTCCCGTGGATAAATTAGCTTTTCACTATTGTTAAATGTACTTTGAAAACATGTCGGACAGTTTTTGACGGTTTAATCGTTGAATCAGCAATTCATTTTTCCGTGTATGTTACCTAGTTATATTAGTTTTTGCATCTCTGTACGATTTGGGTATCAGAATTGAACTCCATGACAAGTGCAACTGATCATTTTTCTCTGGAAATGGAACGAATTTCTAAAAAAAAAAGTATCACTGAGTTATTACTTCTTCAAATCCGACACCAATGTTTACCGATCAACCTCGTATGTAAACCCTCCCGTTGCCAGACCTCCGTGAAAATCCATTTGAGTTAAAAACCAGGGTTATTTCTGAACGATGCAATCGGAGTGACCGTTGACGACGCGTCGCCATGTCACTGCGTTTTCCAGCGTCAGCCGTGCATCGGAAAAACAACGGACATGCGGAAAGTTTCTACGGGAGTTACGAGTTTCTTGCTTAGCGGGGCCACGCAGGCGCAGCGCTGCGACGCTTGATTCGCCGCGTAATCGAGTTACATCAGTCGATTGGGTCCGGATATTTGCTCGCATCGATACAGTGACCATTGCAACGAATCGACGCCTCGATTAGCATTGACGGTCACACCGCTCCGCGCCGCCCGCCGCCGGCTGATTATTGAAATTCATAGACAAATCGATAGACAAAGAAGACATAGAGAGTATGGAGTACAATTCAATCCTTTCATTACGCACTTTATTTGATAAAATCTTATAACTGAATTATATTTGGAATTTTGCTCAATTTTAGTATTATATTTATATAATGGAAAAAAGCTCAGATACAAGCACAATTTTCCCTCAAAGAGATTTTACGCACGATGGCTAAAAAACGCCATCATTGACTTACGTGCGTTTACCGCAATCAGTTTGACTATCAAATACGATCCATAGATCCTCTTACGCTTGTCAACTCGGGGAGACTCTGAGAGGAAATCGCTGTGTAAAACTATATTCTCTGAGAATAAATCCACCTTTTCTCGTTACAAGCTGGTAACAGTGGCGTTTAAAAATCAATTATGATGATCACGGGAACACAACTGAAAACAAAACTTGCTATTCGCGAGTGGCGGGTCATATTCTTGCGCAATTACTAATCGATGTGTTGCGAATGAGATGTCGCTGGGCATGTAGCAGCGTATGATTGCAGATTAGATCCCAAGAGAAGCCAAACGTATTGCAAATTGTTACCAGTACCACGGTGCAACATTAAGCTTAAAAAACACACCAAAATTGGCAACAAAGGCTGAAAACAATCAAACAGAAAGTCTGGAGCGTTTCGGGGTAGTTTCACACCTTCTCCTCGACCAAAATTAAAAAAATAATACAATTATATAAATCAAAAATCCCCTTTAGACCCCTATTCGTGATTAAAAAAAGGCTTTTAAAATTTTATATATGGTTTGTGTCCTGATCGAACCGCCCCGTAACGTGCCAGGCTTTATGTTCGATTGTTTTTAGCCTTTGTAGCCCATTTTGTGTGTTGTCTGTGGTCAGTTGAATCATTCAGGCTATGTTTGTGTATTATTTTTTGCAGTATTATATAATTGTTCTACGCACAATTTCAAAGAGAAAACCTGTCACATGTTTTCTAATTTGGACCTTGTCTAATGCCCCGTAATTGAAAAACAAGATTATGAGGATACACGAAAATGCGCCTGCACTGTCGTGCTAAGTGAAAACGCTGTATGAGCATTCGAATGTTGCCAAATTTCCCATCAGAATATTTATTTGTGAAGAAAGTTAAGAATATTTTTCCTTGTTTCTAGACTTTTTAGGTCAAATTTCGAACGAAGTCCTCCGAAAATCGGAAGAAAAATATTCACTAGTACTCCCTAAAATTTGTAATTGGTCAAAAGAAATGCGGCAACGTCCAAAAGCTCATACGGCTTTCTTCCTTTGCATGACAGCGTACTGCCGTGCTAAGGAAGAACGCCGTATGAGACTTCAGGCGTTGCCAAACCTCCTGTGACAAATCACTAATTTTCAGGAAAGTTTGTGAAGATTTTTCTTCAGTTTATCATACAATTTTGTTCAGAATATGGCCGAAATTTTCTACAAATTTCAAGGAAAAATATCCAAAACTTTCTTCAAAAAGAAACATTTCTTCAGAGGAAATTTGGCATCCCTCGAATGCTCATACGGCGTTCTTCCTTAGCTCGACAGTGTAGGTCCAGAGACCATGGCAACGCCCCCTAGTTCACAGCTAGGCACGATGAGCGGTGTAACACAGAATGGCAGAGGATACTCGTAAAATATGCTGATGAGATAATTACCTGATGTCCTCTTAGATATGCGCCAGATAATCCTAACGCATGAACTCACAGCAAGGTCTCAGTGCTCCTCGGATATCTGTCATTGTTCTTGGAGCTTTGCCTGAGACGCTCGAGTGGTAGAACTACTAATTAAACCTTAAACGAGCGGAGGACGGATATTTCATCGTGCTCCATGATTATTTTGGCAATGAATTAAATTGAAATATACTCGGTTTTAAAGCTGCTTGAAGTCGATCAAACACTCGACTCTTCCCAGATAATTCTACACTGAAATGAAAACTCCGGCTGAGGAAGTCGTACCTACGGGCAACATAGACATACAGTCTGCGTTCCGGGCTCAGAGACCGAGAGTTCCGGGCGTAGCACCCGGAGAAATGGTACCTTCGGTTCCAGTACCCGAACCTTACGGCCTCTGAGCCCGGAACTTACGGTAAATCTATATAACCCGTAACTATCTCTTGAGTGTCGCTTAGCTACTCTGCGGTCGTGCTAAGGAAGAACGCCGTATGAACATTCGAGAGTTGTCACAAATCCGTCGATAAAATGTATATTTTTGAGGAAATTACTGAATATTTTGCGTTGAAATTCTCGGGAGCTTTAGGTGAAATTGCGAGCAAAATAACCTGAAAAATTAGAAGAAAAATATCCATAAGTTTACCAGAAAATTCGTGTTTTATCAAAGGAAATTTGGCAACGCCTGAAGATTCACACGGCGTTCTTCCTTCGTACGGCGCGGCAGTACTGTAATGCCGTGCTGAGGAAGAACGCCGTATGAACATTCGAGAGTTGCCAAATTTCCCTCGATAAAATGTGTATTTTTAACGACATTCATGCACATTTTTCCTTGAAATTTTCAGATATTTTAGATTAAATTGCGTACAATATTATCTGAAAATTTTGATGGGAAAATTTTCATAATTTTCCCTGTAAATTCGATTTTCATCGAGGGGAAGTTGGCAGGGTCTGAAGGCTCATACGGCGTTCTATCTTAGCACGGCAATGTAGGAGTAGCCACGGTTAATGGTTGAGATCTTAATGAGCGCAGCTTTGACGAGATACATTCTGAGTGTTCTAAATTTTGACCATTCCAAGGCTTATTTTGGTAAAATCGGAATGCCGGTCTCTAGATCAATCATCGAAGAATTCCTGCGGTACCAACAATTTTCTTTCAAAATTAAATATGAAGTCTTAAGGACTGTTTCCAATTATCTATGTCCGCGCCTCGAAATCGATATAGTATAACAGTATGTTTGAAAGCTCCAGGTTCAAATTCCGCCCTGGTAAAAATGAGCGATAGGAGCTGCGTTTCAAAATACCATAGGAATTCTTATAGCCGACTAAAGAAGGCTATTGAAAATCATATAGCTGGCTGTAGAAAGCGGAGCAAATCATATAGCCGGGCTATACAAAGCTACAAAAAAGTAAACAGTCGGGCTATAGTTCCTATCGCCGGGCTTTACACTTTATCGCCATTGGCTATAAAAAGCTATAAGAAATTGTGTAGAAATTCCTGTGCTTTGGAAATCATTAAGTTTGATACGGAACTACCTTAATATTTACAAAACACACATTATACTTTCCTTTAAAACATATTTTTTATCATCAATTAAAATGAGAATTATCCATACAGAGTAGGCAAACATTTCAAAATCATGAGTTGGAAAACGCTGACTCCGCATGATTAAATATTAGAGCCTAACACGAAGCGGAGCGGCGACGCACTGGCGCCTACAAACCTAACAGGGATACTTCACGCATTGCGCAATGCGTGAAGTATCCCTGTTAGGTTTGTAGGCGCCAATGCGCGTTTCACGCTGGCTGCCCGCCTGCCGCGCCGCAGCGTGCCACGGCGCTTGAAACAACTATTTCACATCTGAGGTATTGCACAGTATCATAAGAAACGGAAGGCGCTCTAATATATTAGTAATGACAGGCATCCATCAAAAGTACGGAGCTTTTCTCGCAAAATAAATCAAGATACTACGGCCCAAAAAGAGAGCAGTATTCCAAAAACTCACTAAGTCCTAGCATCCATAATTAAGTAGTAACGTTTAGCATGAACTTTATCGTCTGGCTGTTGCTTAGTCGCCATCGGCTATAAAAGGCTAAAAGAAATTGTACAGCCGGCTACAGAAGCTATTGGAAAGCTTACAGCCAGCTTTAGGTCTATGGTATTTTTGAACACAGATTCTACTGCCAATTTTTACCAGGGCGGTGATGGTGACAAATGCTCACGGATCTGACGAATGGATATTCTGAAAATATTCCACTCCAGGCCTTGATACCTGAACATTTGAAAATTCTAAAGCATGATTAGCATGAATGTTTTCGATTCTCTCGGTGTCTGCGGGCAATAAACAAATTAACGAAGAACAGAAGACAATAAACATAAGGATAACATATCTGAAATATTTATTTGAAGTGCATGACCGTTGTTTGCCGTTCTATCATGTACCCAATTTAAAATTTTTATTGAAATTATTAGATTGTTGACTTTAATTAGTATTTGATGATTTTTCTGTTTTAATTTTTTGCAGAGTGTTTTGAACGAGTAGCCATAGGTAAAAAATTAAATTTGAGCGATATTTCAAAATCAGTAATGTCAAAAAGTCTACGGCAATGTGATATTGAGTGCGAACGAGAGATGTGTAATGCATACGCTTTTGGGTGAGTGTTTGATCTCTTCTCTTTCCTGTCCTATTCTTCACTTTAATTTCATAAAGACTAGAAAACAAGCGAACATATTTGAAAGGAAAACTTTTATCAACTTTAAAAGCCTCTGGTGTTTCATAGCTACTTTATTATGAAACATCTGTGGATCTACATAGAATACGTAAATTCTAATTGGTGCGTACCTATATATAATCTGCACCGAGTTGAAAAAAAAATTGAGAAATGCCCAAAAAAAGTTGTAATTTTTGCAGTAAACTTGAAATCGCGTCTCATTAGAGGCTCTTAAAATATTAAGTTCATGTTGTTGAGTTTTATGAATCATACAAAATCTATAAGTATTGACATCCACGGAAATTTCACTTTTCTTCTCTATTCTTCTCCAAGTATTACCAAAAATACCAAAAAAATAGTTTTCAACCGAAAATTGTTCGGCCGCATTCCAAGGTTTTGATGTCTTGCAGTTTTGAAAGGACGTTTTACAGACGTCAAAATCTATAGAAACACAAGACAACAATACAAATAAGACATTTACAAGCGAAAGTTTCTGCGCGAAGTTCAAAGATACAGCTAAATACTGTGGAATCCCTTCGCTATGTATTAGTACAAATTAAAAGAGAAGAAGTCGAAAACAGGTCAAAGATCGGCACCCAAATGTGATTCATTACTACTGACTCCCATACTGCAAAAAAATTAGGCAGATTATTGTCAAATTATGTTGACCGAACTTGGACTTTATGTTGCTGAGTACAATGAAAGCTTCCGAATCGACTACATTTTACGATGAGGCTCGACTAATCCTGGCTCATTTTAAAAACAGCTTGTCTGCAATTAGTTCCGCTAAGCAGATAGGTGATTTTACAAATGAGCAAGAAATTGTAGTTCCTCGCCGCAAAATACAGTCTAAATATAGCACGATTTTTTCCAGTGTCTCTGGGTATTAGACCGAGCATCCAGAGACAATATCCGCACTTTTTTTGACGAAAGAGGATGTCCGCAATAATTCGACATGACCTTGAGCAGGCTAAGCGTGCGAAGAATTGATTTATAGAATATTGACGATGAAATAGTTCACGCTTTGCTCCACGACTGTGCTGATGCATGCATTTACACAGGAAATCAATTTTTATAATTTATTGTAGGACGAGTGTGGCAGAGACGTGGCGTGCTTTGCAATATATCGATTGATCTGTAATTTAAACCTATAGAAAAGGCTCCATGAACAGGATGTTCGCAACGAACACCTTAACCTTTTGCCTCCTACAGACGAGTATACTCGTCTTGGAACCTCGAAAATCTTCATTTTCGGTGTGATTTATTTTAAAAAAAAAAAATTGGGTGCTAGTAATTGAATTTTGGTGACCGATCTTCACTCAATTCTGTCCTTCAATGATTGTTGAATTAATGAACCAAAGGTATCCTTGTGTTCAGTTCTCTCAGTAGTTCCCACTTTAACACGAAATTCACCACAGCTCAGACACCTGCAAATTCTCTATATTGGGTCAATTCTCCCGCGGTGTGCGTTCTAAAATTTGATTGACTCTCAAAAACTTCCACGCCTTGACTACGCGAATATCCTTGCAAAAATGTCATCATCCTCGTCGAACGAAGCGGTCAGCAATACTGCCGTGCTAAAGAAGAGCGCTGTATGAACACTCAAGAATTTCCAAGACATACACATAGGTCACTTTAGCACTCCCTTGCGCTCTACTACACCTAACCTCCACTGCTCTCTGTCAAACCACAACCGTTGTGAGGCATCAAGCGCTTTAGCATTTCTGCTTTAATCCTCTCCCTACAACCTCTCATTGGCCTTCTGCGCCTTTTCCCAGAAGGAGCCCAATCAAGGACCTTCCTCGGCAACCTATCTCCTGCCATTCACTGAACATGACTCTAACAAATGAGCTTTCCATTTCCAAATTTCCCTTCATAAAACATGTATTTTGGACGAGATTTACGCACGTTTTTCCTTAAAATTTTCAGATATTTTAGATTAAGTTGGGTAAAAAATTGTGTAAAAATCTTGGGAAAAAATATTTACAATGTTACCAGTAAATTCAGTTTTTATCGAAGAAAAAATGGCAACTTTTGAAGGCTCTTACGGCGTTTTTCCTTAGCACGGCAGAATACGAGGACGTAGGGCAGGAAGAGTTTAGCGGGCCGTATCGTGAATCGGTGATTTCTGGCGACTGCGAGTGGCGTGGCCGGGGGGCCGATGCCTCGGGGAGGTTCGCTACCGGCTACCGGTGAGCCACCGCCCGGATAATCCTCAGACAAGATGACGCCGCCGGCTCGGCCCGGATCTTTACCTCCGAGGAGACAATTACGTCACCCAATTAATGTCCCGTCCTTGTCAAATCTAGCGAATAATGCAGCGTTTAAAATAGTACACTGAAAAAAAAAAAAAAACTCCGGCCATGGAAGCCGTGCTTACGGGTTTTACAGACATACCGTCAGCGCTCCGGGCTCAGGGCCAAAAGTTTCGGGTGCAACATCGGAACAGTCGAAGTTACGCTCCAGCGCCCGAAACTTTCAGCCTCTGTGCCCGGAACGGACGGTATGTCTGTAGAGCCCGTAACTTTTTTTTCAGTGTAGAACTTTACTGTCGTGTAGCGGAGGGAGGCGAAAGTCACAAATTTAAATCGAGTTTCCTTCCAAATTTGTCAAATTTCTTTAAGATGTCACTGAAATAGCAAAAATAGCAAAATTCATTTTACGGTATAAAAACGAGACATGTAAGAAAGCCGTAAGTTCGCAAAAAATGACGTAGTTTCAGACAAGACAGCCGTAAGGAATAGTATTCCTACAGAGAGCCAATAAAGACAGTGCTTTCAAGCAAAGTGCCACCCTTTTCTGTCAATTCCTAACCAGAAATTGTGTTTGTTGTGTATCCAAAACGCAACCACGGAAAAATGCAGAACATGGTACTGACGGCTGTTTTTCCTAACACTAGCCTAACATAAAAATGAATAACATCCTTTTTTTATCTAATAATTGAAATAAAATTGTTCGATTAAAAATCTTGCACCTGATTTCTGAGAGTCTTTCTGATTATTGATGGCAATTTGACAAAGGACGAAGGCTTTTTTTAAATGAAATTTTCCGCTCAAACGCTAGTAGCCCATTTTCTCAAAATGTCATCTTCCTCATGACGGCTATCTTCAGGGCCAGGTAGGGCAGCGGTCCAACTACAAGACTTGCGCGCGGTACCTGTGAACCTCAAAGGATCGTATTATAACCCAAATTTCCTATCATTTGACTTTAATGGACTCGCTACCAATAGGTATAGGTATGGGTCGGAAGCCACACGTAAAAATTAATCAGCTCGTGCGATACTATGATTTTAAATTTTTTTGAGCGAGCTTTCCGGAAAATAAAATGTCAACTAGACCACCGAACTCGAGATGGCATTATAGTACTATTCCATCTTCTGAATGGCGTCTACTCAATGGGCGAATACAGCTAGCGGCAGCAGCGGTGCAGGTCCAGAATTCAGCACGTAATGGTGGATTGAGTTTCAATTAAAGAGGTTGCGCAATGGCCTGATCCTCCTTGCGTAGAGCTCCTTGCTCGACACCCCGAGACTGAGACGGATTTGACTGTCTGACCGGACCGGGAGCCGGCAGCAATCCTCCATGCTCCGGCTTCCATTGTTCTAACCAGAGCTAAACTCCCGTGTGCTTGTCCGGGGCACCGATAGCCGTGTTTTCTTTGTTGTCAAAATTGCCACTCGGTTCCCTTCGCTGCACTGAGGGAAAAAGTTCCAACATATGAAGCGTGAAAATTCAAAACTTTGTTTTATTTTTCTGCAGGTGACCCAGTTTAAACGGGTCCGTTGTAAACGTTCGCTAGAGCAAAATGAAAATTATTTTTTAAAGGAAATGTCGCGAAAATTCTCTCTTCGTTCGCCCTGCCAAATCTTGGATTGAGCACGGAGAAAAAAAACGCGTGCGTGGGACCCGAAGTTGAGGTCATATGGATCTCTGAAGTTTTCGGATCACGTATCTAAGAACTTAAGGTTCAGCTGCCGAAGTTCGGGTCAGATATCTGGAGTACTTCGATATACCGAAGAGTACGGGTCACTCATCTGAAGTACTCCGGTACATACCGAAGTGCCTCGATGTCTGACCCGAACTTCGACAGTTGAACCTCAAGTTTTTGGATGAGTGATCAGAAAACTTTAGAGATCCATTTGACCTCAACTTCGGGTCCCATGCACGAAGTTTTTTTCTCCGGGAGGAAATAAGGCAGGAACTGAGGAGATGCGATCAGCCGGAGGAGCTCTGGCAGGATCGCTGTCAATGGCGGTTGGGTGTCGCAGAGCGCACAGAAGAGCTATTAGAGCGACTCGTCTGTAATAGTCTCAAAAATCACGAAGAGCGCATCGGCTCTTCCACCACTATTCGTGCTTCATAGATGTGCTTGAAGTATCATCAAAATGGAAGGCGAGATGAGGCACTTGATCTTGGCTCCGACTTTTTGCTGCGCTTGAGGACGACTTTTTTCCATCAAAACGAGACAATTATCCCCGAAATTCGAGCAAACTTCATCTTCATTTTTCTCCATTTCACTACACTATCGAACCTAGACACTTGCGTAAAAAATGCCGCTGAGATGTGAAAACTCAAGAAATGGATCTCGAACTCACACGACATTTTGATACCACTATTCGTACCACGTGGATGTGCTTGAAGCATTATTAAAATGCAATGCGAAATGAGACACTCGATCTTGACTCCGACTTTGTGCTGCACTATATGAAGAACAACTTTCGTCTATCAAAACGAGAGGACTATCCTCGACATTCGGGCAAACTTAATCTTAGTTTTTCTCAATTTTACGACTGACTTTGACTCAGACTTCGAGCCGCGGTTAGGGACTAACTCTATTTATTAAATCGAAACAACCGTCCTCGATATTTGGGCAAACTCTATTCTACCCTGGTAAAAAATGGCGAAACTGGCTGTTGCTTAATTGCCGTCGGCTATAAAAGGCTAAAAGAAATTATACAGCCAGCTATAGAAGCTATTGGAAATCTTACAGCCGGCTTTAGGTTTATAGTATTTTGGAACACACATTCTACTGCCAATTTTTACCAGGGTAGTTACTTGCTCAATTTTACGACACTATTGAACCAAGACGCGATTTTGAGGCTACAACTTTTAGACTGTAATGCAACTTCTCGTACTTTCCTGGCACCAAAAACAAATTTCAAAGAAATAAATTACATCACTCACAAAATACTCTTAAGGGCGCCTGTGAATTGTCTGCCGAAAATTCAAAATTCACTTTTTTCTGCAATTTAAGAAACATTTGCTCTCCGGAAGAATGGACGAGCGTGTTCCCAGAAGCGGATCCAGCAGTTTGGCAACACCGAGTTTTCTCCATTTAAACCTATGTTAAATAATCGAATCTTGTCGAAGCACCTGGCCCCTTCAAGAATCGATACATTTCCATAGGTTTAAAAGGCGAAAAAACAATGTTGCCAATCTGCTGGATCCGCCAATGCGTGTTCCATTCGTCCCCTCGACAACAGGCATATTCTTTTAAGAGAGAGAAGTTTTCAGTAATGGAACACAAAGTAACTAGAGCCTTTGTTTTACTCTCGAGTTTCTCGAGTTTTTTGGAGTTTTCTCTGCTAAATGCAACTTACATTGTTACAAAATTGGGGTTGGTTCATGTGTCTTACTTCCTACATAAACCGGAAGGACTCGCAAGCGCGAAAACAATAAAGCTTTTTAGCCTAATAACAAATGACTTTATTTAAAAGTAACTATAAGTCACGCACATCCAATGAACATAACTCTTTTCCTTTGGCATCCTACAGGCAATTTTCACATAAGTTCTTTCTTCGTACACTTTCCGAAAATTGCCTCGAGTCTCATGCTTCTTCGTGTTCAATCGCAATTTCTTTTATATTTCCGAGGAAATTCATCGAGACTCATCTTTTTAATACATTTTTATTCCGTTTTTTCATTTTAATAAAATTGTTCGGCCTTGCCTGCATCGAAACTAAAAAAAAACGCCAACTTGCATCTTCCAAAACACCGGATATTTCGATTTCTCCACACCGTACGAGCAAAACAAGTGCTTCGATAGGTGAAAATTTCGATTGCTATCCGAGATGTAGATTTCAGATCCGTTTCAATTTTAAAAGGACCCTCGGGGCAGATATTATTTTTATCCAGTGAAACTGGTCAGAATACGAGAGCCACATGACAGAAAAAAATCTCCTTCAAGCGACGGAATACTATTTACCCATCACGTGTGTATGTGCGTCAGGCAGTCAGGCGCCACCAAGTGTTCTCTACTTTGTCGGAAGCAACCTGCGATAGCAGACCAATGCAATGGCGTGGCGCGTGCTTTGCGATACATCGATGATATGCCACTTAAACCTATGGAAAAGTATAGATAAACAAGGTGTTCGCAACAAACACCTTAATAATCAATTCTTTACCATAGCTTCAAATGGGGAAATGTCGATCATTGGTCATTCCCTCTTCGCCATTGGTCTATTGTTTTATGGACGATATTAGAGTCCCTTTATACTGAGAGTCAAGACAGTGTGAATCCATTTCTGATTGTTTCTCGTATTTTAGGCCTTCACAATGTCACAAACGGGAATAAAGATTACAATTTCACCGATTGCAAAGACGGAATGAGAGAAGGAACGGAGAAAGGAATTTGAGGATGGGCCGATCAAAGATTACAAAAAACGTTCAATTTGTGTAATCTTTATTCCCGTTTGTGACTTCATGAGGGGGTGTTGTTTTGACTCTCAGCATAAAGGGACTCTAGACGATATTATTGGCCAAATTACCGTAGGGATTCTCCAGTATGTCAACTTGAATCCAAACAATAAAAATTAGATAACCGTTATTCAATAATTACATGAGAATAAATCTATAGCTATTGCTTTTCTGAAAGGTTTCGATAAAACGTCTATGGCTTCAGGCTCCGTAAAAAAGTATGAGGTTCCCGGTAAAGTTATGGTGGTACCAAAGCGCTATTACGTTGGTTTATTGATAATGGATTGATCAATGGCTTCTATTTGTATTTAAAAGTATTTGCCGAAAATCCGCGAAAGTCGTACCTCGCGGTGGTACATGAGGTATTGATACGTACAAATAACAGTTTATCAGAAATAACTTTCGGAGTTATTTCGAAATATCCCGTGAACGGCGATCAAATTTTCCATAATCACACTTGACGCGCTACATCGTGAAATTGCGAGATTAACCTTCTAACGGCAACTTTTCGATCGACTTTGACCGAGAGATAGTCATGGAGATAATTTTTTATGTAAACTAATGGTGTGCTGTCATTTAAATTAAACGCATTAATGCTAAAAGTAACTTGTTATAAATGAACGAAGTTAAAAAGAACTACCTATGCGCACAGAATTTGCGTGTCCCACTTTTGGTTGGATTCATCTGCAGTGACGTGGCATACTTGGCGATGTATCGATTGATATTTTATTGAAACCTATGAAAAAAGATCGATTATTAGAGCGTTCGCAACGAACACTATAATAATCGATTCTCTATCATAGCCTCAAATGAGAAAGTATTGATAGTCGATTATCACGCTTTGCCACTGTTCATCTATGCATGGTTCCTTTTAGCATAAAGACATCAAAATGTCAACCCGCCTACCATGACCCCTATCGACCAATTCGAGTCTTTGAAAATGGTAAACTTTAGGTATGCTTTTTTCCAGGGTTACAGTTCAAGGAAACAGCACTTGTGATATCAGTGCGAAACTACCACAAACAATACCTATTGACGATCCTGAATACGACCTGTTCGTGAAAATTTATGAGTGCCAAAATATGACAAGTAAGTCTAAACAATCATAATATTTCTTTTTCTGCTTTCATGATTTGTGGCCTAGCCTTAAAATATACGGATGCATGTGCCAGATTATGAATCAGGCTCAATGTAAACAAAATCAAATCAGTGTAACTAAAAAGCCTGTTTGAAAAGCTCATGATAAATGATGAGCTTGGAAGGCAGCGCATATAAGTGCAGTTTTTGCTATTTAGAGAAATTCGTGTTGGAAGTCTCGAAATTACATGGACCCTTATGGCGGAAAAAGTTCAAAGTGCCCTTTTCATGCTTGAAAATTGGAATTTGGAAGCGAATTTTTCACGGAAAATGCATAAAGTCTTGTTTGACTTGAAATTATTAATATCTCAATTTTTTCAAAAACTGCATTTATGCGGCTTGTCCTCCAAGCCCCTCAAACGTTTGACATCAGGATCCAATGTGATGCCTTATCCTAGGGTCATTTGGACGTATTTCTATGAAACGGAACTAAGCGCCAATTTGAGTTCCTTTTGAGGACTTTAGAATCCCGGATGGCGCGTTCTGTCAAACGGACCTAAGCGCAATGGAAAAGCATTGCGAGTATAGGACGGAATAAGCCAGACGCCCGATTCCGCCGCCAATCCAAGCCCCCCTCTACCTGTCTCACCCTATGGCGCTTAGGTCCGTTTGATAGAAATACGTCTATTTGATGTTTACCGTCTGTGCTTGTTATTTATTTTCATTTATGTCTGGGTTTGGAGCCAAAATAAGTGATATATAATAGTTGCGATGTCTAGGTAGCCCAAATTGCATATCCACTGAGACGAAGGAGAACTGAGTTCTAAGAAAATGTGATACATGAACTTCACCATCTGAGTGTCAAAAATCGAAAAATCCAATATTATAAACATCCAACATTTGGCAACGAGGAGGGCACTATGGGAAGATGAAGTCATTACCGCGCGCGTGATTGGTCGATACAATGACGAGTTTTCAACGGTTTATTCGCTATCCGTCAATCTATTCGCACCGAAACACATCGGCACCTGGTTCAAGCTCGCGCTCAACAGATGCCTCACATCGATAAACCACCTATTTCCTGTTCTGTTTTCCGCACTCCATGATCATGCTAAAAAAAACTGCACAGTGCTCATACATTTGTGAATCGATTAATGTAAAAACCTTTTAAGTCCATGTGCTAAAGAGCCCTCGGCTCCATAAGATCGCGTGAAGCCCAGGGCTCATCAGATGATGGACGCACTCGGTTTTGTTCGATGAAAATGTAGGCCACGGTGACAATTAATCGATCGATGAGCTCATTAATTGATGTCCCTCACGTAACGCGACACAAAAGCTGAGATCTCCGTCATGTAAATATTTTTGTCAAAAGTTTTTGCACGATCATTTAACTTTTTGCGTGCTTTTGTTGTTAGTGCGAAGAAAGTTGCGGAAGAGGACTGTCTCTGTGGGGATCGAATTTCGCGTGATTTGCAGTCATTGATGCGTTGATACTAACGTTCCTGTTACTCTCTTTTGTTTTAAGAGCACTTTCATTTTCGTTTGTCTCCATTCCAAAACAAATTGCGGGGAGGCGATCGCCTCCCAACAATCTGTTTTAATTTTCCAATCTTTTCCAGTTCCAGTCATTATAAGGCCTCAAAAGCCTCAAAATCCTTGAAAATTTGTCTCCAAGAGACATAAAGATTGCCTAAAGCTTATGATACAGAATATTCAGGAAAATCTGGTGGACTCCTGGGGCCCCAGAAGTGATAAGGGGGCCTCCGAAAAGTCCTGAGAATGGGTTATATTGAAGTTCAAATACCACTGAATTTGACTCCAAAAATGCTTAAAATTGCGTTTAAAAAGTGTGAAATTTTCAAAATTTTCCGGGAGGGGGCGAACGACAGGAGGGGCCCCCAAATCTAGGTTGCCTCCTAATTTTTCGACTGCCAGTGCGCCCCTGCAAATTGGTAAATGTGCACGGGATAGATTATTTTGCTAGAGATTCAAAACTATTCGATTTCCATTACAAAAAAAATTATCCGAAGAAATCTGAGTTATCTGAATTATCTGAGCAATTGAAGAAAAAATATGGACAAATTTTCCTGAAAATTCGTGTTTTATCAAAGAAAATTTGGCAACGTCTGAGGATTTATACGGCATTTTCCTTATCTCGGCAGTATGTCCCTCTATTCACTGATGGTCACGCACTCAAAAAACGCAAAAAAAAATTCCTCAACTTGGCATCCCCGGTGGGAACCTCTAGCGGGGGCGGGGAGGAGGTTCGTAACCCGGGTGCAATTGACTTTGAGTCGCACAAAGCCTCGACTTGACTGACGTTTGAATCGGCTAAACGGTGTGGCCACTTCCAAGCCCTCTCAACACGTCATTTTCCGCGATGAAGCTTCGGTAACGGTGCTTCAGCTCCATCCAAGTCGAAGATCATGGTAGCGGCAGTGCGGCGCTAACCTTCACCGGTGACCGAATCTCGGGGGCATCAGACCTTCGGCAGTCGCCCTGCGGTTATCTGATCGTGGAGCTGTTCGTTGACCACCGCCAATTCTCATGGGTTTCAGCGTTCCCGATTGTTCGGTCCAGTAGAGTGACCACGAATGGTATTTTCGGCTATAGGATTTGTTATAGTCCGCATAGCCCGACTATAGGATTTTTAAGTGTCCCTATAGCCTGACCATACCGGCAATAATAAATCCTAAAGCTGGGCTAAGGGAACCAAAATAAATCCTAGATTCAAGCTTAGCGGGCTGCAAAAATCCTAAAGACAATGTCTCAAATTGCACGGAGAAAAAAACCTCGTGCGTGGGACCCGAAATTTAGGTCATATGGATCTCTGAAGTTATCGTATTGAGCATCTGAACACTTTAGGTCTAGCTGTCGAGGTTCGGATCACACATCTGAAACTTCAGTTCTTAAATTTGAAGTACTTTAGATGTGAGAACCGAAGTTTTGTCGGATGTGAGAACCGAAGTTTTTCGAATGTGAAAACCGAAGTACTTCAGATGTAAGAACGTGCATGCGTACTTCAAATGTTTCCGTGCATACCAGCAGTAATAAATCCTAAAGCTGGGCTAAAGGAACCAAAAGAAATCCTAAATTCAGGCCTAGCGGGCTGTAACAAATTCTATAGACAATGTCTCAAATTGGAGTACGTGATACCACGAGGATGCATTATCAAGGATGAACATAGTTTTTTTTTTTTTTTTTTTTTTTTTTTTTTTTTTTTTTTCAGTATATACATGGCCAAAGTGCGAAACCATGTGACTCCGTCTGCAAAGTTGGGAACCTCCTGCCATACTTTATTTTTGAGAGACTAGTCAACGTAATTTCTTAAAAACTCCCTTGATTTTTTTTATGTTTGTAAACATAATGTATGTATGTATAAAGCTGCTTTTATAACGCTCTCTGGCGCTCTGCGACCCCTAGCCGCCAAAGTCCCCTATCCTCCCAAAGCCCTTCAGGGAGTTGGCAAACCCTCATTTCTTCTAAAACCCCCTGTCGCCACCCTTTCACTGGGCGTCCCCTTCGTCTCCTCCCAGGAGGAACCCAATCAAGCAACTTCTTTGACAGCCTTTCGTAAACATAATATGATGTATAAATTTCAAGCTAGAAATTTGATTTTTTTTTCTTCGGAAAATTCGGATTGGAAATTTTGAAACACCGCAATAGAGATACGTGGTTTTGCACTTTAGCCATCGATAAATTACAGACACTGCATCCTTTAGTTAGTGTTATGCAACAGAAAAAAAAGTCGAAGTGCAACCTCGAATACATTTCCCTGGAGTTGCTGCAAGCCCCGCAAATCTTGCGGTTTGACCTATTCAGCATTGTTAGCATAAATAGCTCAGCAACGATTCCCTTAAAGACGTTACGTTATCTTGAGGACGGCTTTCCGGTTCACCTTACGCTGACGTTGGTGGGAAATGGATTCGGAAAGTGGTTTAGGAAGCCCTGATGAAGGTGTCTGATCTCAGCAAGATGAGGCTTTGTTTTCACTGGAAGCGCTCCGCTAGCTTCCTTCATCCTTGAGCCAAGGTAATTATCCTCGACTTTCGATGTTCAAATCAGTGAGAAATACCAACACTGAAACCGCTAATTTTGGCGCATTTGCGTAAAGAATATGCCTGGAGACTCGGTGATAATTTTGAGAGCTTTGATGAACTTGTTTGAAATTTAAGAATCAATGGAAGACTTAGAAAAAATATTAAAACGGTGTCGTTAGACGAGAGATTGATTAAATGTCACTCATTCAAACACGAATAAAAGTTGAGTATCTAGTGGCCACAATACGACCTGGCAATATTCTGATCCTCAGAGAGTCTATTGGCCACACTGAAAAAAAAAAAATCCGGCTCCAGGAGCTGAAGATTTTTTTCTCAGTGTAGTACTACATTTGTTCACCATACTTTTGGTGAATTTTCAGTAAATGGAGTAGCCAGTATAGACTTCTGGTATGGCTACAGAATTTTCTACAGAGCCCATGGAACATACAGAATTGAAAGTGCGTAAGTCCGCTATTTGAATTATTTCAGATAATAGCACCCCTACGTAATACTTTTAAGCCGTATCCGAAGAGATAGAGATATTATCTTGGAGTCCTGAGAGAATTTTTATTATTATTATTATTAAAGTCGCTTTACAACGCACTCTGGCGTTCTACGACACCCAATCGCCACATATGCCTGTCTTCCCAGAGGTTATCGGGCAACTGACACCGCAACATCTCTTCGTCAACGCCCTGCCGCCAACCCTTTACGGGACGTCCCCGTCGCCGTGAGAGAATTTTTACCTTTCAAAATTTTGACTTAAAAATAAAGAAAAAAAAGAAAAAAAATCGACTAAATCCAAGAAAAAAAATATTCCTTTCACTCACTCTTCATTGAGAATTCTAGAGTTTAGTGTGTCAAACTCTTTTACGAAATTTTTCAATGCACCAATCAAAACTTCTCGATTTACTTTCAACGCCCGCCCGCACAGTGGATCGAGTCAATAAAGGGGAGATCGGACAACATTTT